CGTTCAGAGACGGCCAGCCTTTCTGAGGCCTGAGGGACATCCGTGGGGACGCTGGGCCGCGGCAGGGGGAGGCTCTGGTTCGGTGCTCCTTGAGCCTGGCCCTGCGACTGCACGGGGGCCAGGTGCTGGCATAGGGCAGTGAATGAGAAAGTGGTGGTACGGAGGTGGGGGTGGGGGAGGGGGTATGTGTCCGGCGGGGGGTGGGGGGAGAAGGGGAGGGCCTCATGAGAAACAGTACAGAAAAACAGCTTGTGTGTGTTGTGCTAGAGAATCTTTTATGACTGCCTGGTATTGTTTCTCTAGGTCTAAATCAAGGCTGCAAGCAGCCCAAAGGATCAGCCACTGCTTTAAGAGTTAAAAAGACCCCTTTTACGGAGGGGGGACACTTTGTTTTTATAGCAGCTAAAAACCATTTCAAAACAGTCCTAATTGCTATGGTTGGAGGAAAAGAGAATGCGTAAAGAGGAAAATGTAATATTGCATTTTGCTTCAAATATCCAAGTTCCTGTAAGCGTTTTAGAACATTTTCATAAAGAAGCATATACTACCTACGCTATAATTACTTGCCCACCAAATATGAAGGAATGTGGTTTTTCCAGGATCAGGAGAGGCTGCTAGTGTGCAGGGATACACCGGAGCCAGGCGTACCTCTCCTGTCCTCCAGGATTATAAAATATGATTTACGGGATTTTCCTGACATTATGATAGGGAAGTCTTCTTAAAAAAATCCTTAACATCTTAATAAAGTCATAACACAGACATGCTTCTTTTTGTTGTTATTGTTTTGTCCTCTGAGTTACGCTTCCCTCCAAGGAGACAGCTCGGCAAATTCTCCATGGAGCAAGCATGGAGACACGAACCCCCAAGCCATAAACTTTGGTGTTTACTTTGAGAATGTTACCGAGTTTGGGACAAAAGACTATCCATCAGTCTCATTAGGAAAGTTTACTCTTGTCTGATTTTTTTTTTCTTTTTTTGCTTCTCTTCCCATGGAAAAGAGAAGGATCTTTTAAAACTCAAAATAGAGCAAATCTGGCCATTCTCAACATATGTCAGGAAAGGCTTTTCCCACTGTGCATACCCAAGGGCTAGAATATATAGCCGTTCAGGAAACCTTGACACATCCTTTTCCACGCACAGCCCAGGCTTCAGAAAATTAAAAGCTTACAAATAAAATAAATTAAAAAACGGAAAGCCTATTTTATCTGATGCTGGTTGGTCCTTTGCTTCCTCCACACTCGTCCTCGTGACATTGCCTTCCTCCACACTGGTCCTCTCCCCATTGCCTTCTTCAGAGACACACGGACGCAAGCACCTCCTCTGAACCCAAGGAGAAATTCACAGATCTGACTCCTTTCCATTTCTTCCTGTTCCTCTCACACACCACGTCTCCCAGAATGCCCGCTGTAGAGCGGCTGCTCGGCGGGTGCACGGCACGATTCATGCAGTGAGTGTGCGCAGCTGTGCGCCTGTCCCTCAAGACTCCGGCACCTCAGTGGCAGGGATGGGGCTCTCTGGTTTTACTGCTCCGTGTTTTTAGTAGCATGCCTAATAAATAACTTGTTGATCAAATACCTTGACTCGAAACGCAGGAATTCCCTGTCCAAAAATACCGTGCCCCATGAGTCCTGGGTGTAATTACGAAAGGAAAGGTTTTCTTCGGTGTGAAGACTTTGATGGCAAGCGGGGAGAGGTGCTGTTGGAGGTGTCCGAAGAACAGGAAGGCTCCCCTATGCACGTCCCGGTGTGGGATGAGCTGACAGCTACGTCTAAAAACTCAGGACTGTCCTGAGATGAGCATATCCTCCAACGACCCACTTGGGAAGCCGAGTTCCACAACGGGGCCCAGGGAGTGTGTCTATGAGCTGATGTAAGAACAGTCCAAGAAGGTTTTGGCAGTTTCTCTGATGCAAAGAAAGAGGACTGGTTGGATGACTGGATACAACAAATGACACTTACCACCCAAATGGCATTTAGTGAAAAGCAACGTTTACAGCAAAGCATTCTATCACTTAGTGACTAAGAATTTTAAAATAAACACAAAGTTCCTTTTAAACAGAAATGGAAAAAAGAAAAAAAACTTCCATCAACTTACTGGCAAGGCTGTAACATGAAAGTCCCCATCTATGGTTAGATTTGAATCCTGGTGACTGCTTATTTCAAATCAAAGATTCTAGAAGGACACACTGTGCATTCTATTATTTAAGGTGGAATAAATTAATTACAGGCAAAACAGGAGTCGTTTGCACCTTAGAAACGAACATCAGATAGCTTGGTATCCCTCAAGTTGAAAGAATCAAGGGTCTGCTCAATGTGCATGCCTTTTTTCCTCCCCTTTTTGGGGCAAGGAAAGTAAAAATTTATGCAAAACACTACACGTCTACCTTTTATAATTAATTTCCCAATGCCTCACCTATACATATTTTAATAATTCCTGATTTATAAGATGGTATCTATAATAAAATTTTCTCTTTTCCAATAAATGAAAAGACGGCAGGTTCACTCTGGTAAGAGTGTCATACAATATCTGCTTGTCAGGCACCGATTTTTACTTCTTACATGTAAGTTAAAGGATAAGGAATTTATAATGCTGCCTGTGAAGGGAACCACTTTTCATACACAAATGTGATTTTTTTTTTTTTTTGCAAAGGGTAATACAACAGTACATTTACATAAACTAATCCAAACAATCTATGTATTTGACAATGGCAAACCTCACACAGACGGCCTATTGTTGGTTTACATCTTGGAGTTCTTTATATTGGCTTGTAGCACTGCTCTAGCTGTCAAAGGTTTGACTTGGACACTAAATAAATGGTTATAGAAGTGCTGTGCAGCGATATTGGACTTCTTTGCAAAAGAAAACCTGCTGTGTATGAATTCAAAAGCTATTAATTTTTCAGTCAAAAATATTCGTGCCTATTTCTTTTAATAAAGAAATACTGTGCTGAGCTACTAAGAGATAATGTTGACTAGTGGTAGAGAATTTTCAATAGAACAGTTAAAAATAAATTTAGTAGGAGGTCCCCTTCGAAGTTATAATTTTCTAGAATGTAAAACATTTTTTTTTTTTTTAAATACTAATCAAGACAAACCTTCCTTCCCTGTGCATTTCCCCCAGGACTGCTTTTCCCTGTTTACTGGCTGCTTCACACTGGTCCTCATGGAGATTCCAAATGGTCCTTTCGTGGCCAATGCGTGCTTACCTGTATGGCGCTCCCTGCCAACACCTGGCCCCATCACTCACTGAGTGCCCCATGGGGTTTCACAACCTCTTCCCCACTTTTATCCCTCCCAAGGAGCCCCAACCTACAACGTGAGTCCATCCCAGAGTCCGGAGTCCAAACATTATTATAACATCACTGCTTTTAATCCATGCAGGAGGGAGGAGATCATCTCATTCTCTCCCTTATTACTAGGTTTAAAGATTCAAACCCTTCATCCTGGCGGCGGGGGGGTGGGGGTGGGGGGGGCCGCGGGGAGGGGAACCATCTCCAACAAAGACAATCAGGAAGAGAGTTCAGAAGGCAATGGTTCCCCTAGCAGTTGGCTGTGCTCACTGGAGAACGCCATCAAGTCCTTTCAGGTCTTACCAACTTGCTTTAACTGGGCTCCTATTATTCCCAAGGACCCTCCTTAAAAGGAGGGGCTGATGAAGGCAGCACAAATAGCACAGTTGACTACTGAATCCACAATACCAAACTAAGTTCTTGTTTCCCTTTCTTTTGGTAGCCTACACATTCAGTCCTATAGCCATTTACTGCAAAACACATGGAAACTAAGGGCTCTTTCCTAGTAAAAATGGATGTGCAAAGTGTTTAATGATTTTATGTCCTATATCTCAGTAATGTGTTCTGTTTCAGACATTAATTTTGTCTGCCAACTGCATCTTGGCAGGCTACCATATTTGCTGGGTTAATAGTCTGACTCCGTTTTATTTCTATCACCATAAATCATACATATATGGGTGTATGTTTGCTTTATTTATAGAAAAAAATCAGTCAAAACAGATAAACCAATACTTTGCCATTACGCTGCATCATTGCATATTGATTAAAATTGCTGGTACTAACTATAGATTGTCAACGCTCAATTAATTTTCACACAGTGACTCCAAGCAAAATCAAATAAAGGCAGTGTACCTTTAAATTTTACAAATCTTAAAAATCAAGAAGCACAGCACTCTCTCCATTTTGAATAATCAGTGGAAGCTACTAAGAGATTTTTAGAAATGTAAGTATATGAGAAATACAACTGTTAAAGCGATCAATTTATAGCAAGGAATGAGGCCCAAGACAGGATTTGGGGTTTAGAAACCATCCTTCTGCTTCGATATTAACTGTCTGTGCTTGGATGGCACTCTTCAAGGTGAAGGAAAAGGGAACAAGGCAAGCAGTAGGAGATTCCTAAAAGTTAAATGTAATTTCAGCTTACCGTGTTTGATCTCCTAACTGCAAAAGAGTAATATTCACTTTTAACTCTCTAATAACCATTGGACACCCTCCATAATTTTAGCCTCCAGTTATTCCAAGAGTGTGTTTTCTGTTTCTTTCCTCTGTTACAGCTACACTGGACTAGCCCTCACTCCCTTTTGCATACCTGCTCACTGTCTCTCGGCTAACCCCTGAAATGCCTTTTTCTTTTGACTCCATGGTCTGGCTTTCTTCTTTCTGTGTTCACACCATTTAGAAAGATTCCCCCACCCCCACCCCATGATCAGTCATAATATATTTTCATACCCTGCTATAGCACCAATCATCTGTCCTGAAGAGCTAGTGGTCAGGCCGCTTGGCCAAGGATCTGAATCATCCTCTATCTTCTTAAATGCCTTGCACACTGCCCTCTTCCTAAAAGGTACCCAGAAAGAGTCAACTGAACTTAAGTCCTTCAATACTAACAAGCTGCCAGGGTAGGCTGTCCTGCCTCCTATGCTTGGGCTGGGGGAAGCAGAGAAGAGATACTGTGGGGTTTCTCCCCTTGGTGTAGAGCTCAGTACTTACGGGCTGAGGGGCGGCTTTGGGTTCCGTAGACTTCACGTGCAGATGGGTCATCATGGCTTGCAGGCGCTCTTTGTCTTTTGCAAGCTAGTGGGAAGGAAATGCTCTGTTATTTCTTTGAATACAGATGCATTACTATTTTAACATCCAAAATGATACATATTCCAAATTAAACTATAGCACCATTGCACATGACAAAATCTTTCTCATTGCTTAATCGTTTTGAAATCTACACAACCATTGCCAAACTCGAAGTAACTGGAGGTGTCAGTGTGAGATTTCTCAACACAAGATGCATTAGCTTTTAACTGGAAAGTTCTAGACCTGCCGGCACCAAGGAGTCCCAAAGAACACAGACAGCTAAAAGACAAAAACATGAATCACACCTATTAACCAGTCTTATTCACGAGCAAGCCAAAGGGAAACGAGTGAGGTGGCTAAAACTCATAAAAATTCATCTTTTGTGGCTGTAGAAGAGCTCTTAGACACACGGACACATTTATGCAGAATTAACTTCATCTTTCTTAACAGGTAGGCAGAGATTAGCACAGTGCTGCTGAGCAATACTGGCAGGGCAGGCACGGGGACAAGGGATGACAAATTCTCATCTCCAAAGGAACGCAGAATAAGCCTGATCATTCATTTATTCAATAGGTGAATACCTACTATGTGTTAGTCTCATCTTAACAAAAACTTAAGTCTTCTCATTGTACAAAAAATTATCTTTTGAAGAAACACAAGCTTCTAATCTTACGTACATCATTGCACTCAAAATACTACTAGATGTTCCTTTCTTTTTGCTTGCCTTGAACTGTTTAAACATGATGATATTTTTGGTAATTCAAGGCAGCTGGGCACAGAGGATGCAAAATAATTGATTCTAGGTAGTTTTGCCATAAGCATCTTTGCCACATAACTAATTGGCCGTAAGACAATCTTACCATAAAAGACAGGATCATGACAAATGAAAGGGGAACGTTCCCGAAAAAGGACAAAATGAAACAGAAAAAATGAATATCAAAATGAAACGGCTTCTCCAGAAAAAACATTTGAATACATTCAAAGTGTACAGTGCAGACTGGGGGCAAGACAGCATAAGTAACGGGTTTTATTTTGTGGATTGTACCGAAGCACTTCACTCATCTCCCAATTATTCATGGTATCACACGTTTTCTGGTTGCTCTCGTTCATCCCCATTCAGCGCTGCACTTTTTCTTTTATCCATACAATTCCTTCCTTCATGAGGAGAGGTATCCGTTTCCAATTCTAGAATACGTGTTTCTAACTGAGCTCTGTATGGCGCTGTAAAAGCCTTCTGCACGGTCTCTTGTTCTTGGCATATGGTCTCATGTCCACTGAGAGACCTCTGTTCCAAAATTCTATGGGACACGTGGGTTGGAAACTCTGGGTCACCGTATACACCTTTATGAGGGCTAAGATTTATAGAATATAAAAATGGAAGTACTTTGTCAACTGAGAAATGAAACCAAACTGTCAAACCAAATTGTCAACCAGTTATTTATTTATTTACTTTTAAAATCTCTTAGGGCAAAACTGCCTTAGGACAATTAGTTCTGTGGTGCAAATGACTGCAGCAGAGAGGTCTATAGCAAAGATGCTTACGGCAAAAATACCAGACATGATAATAATTACCTCTGTAAGGTTAAGTGGGAAGTGTATCTCTAAAAGATAAAGGCATAGTTGAGAGAAGAGCTGTGGAATTTGGGGGAAATGTAGAAGAGACTAATGAATGAGTGAACAGAGAGGGAAAGAGAAGGAGAGAGAAAGAAAGAGAAAGGGGTGGGGGTGGTGGGGAGAGTCTTAGATCAGCACTTTTATAGATCACTGGTCCAAAATAATGCCTTTGAACTGGGGAGGGACTCATTTCTTCTATGTCACATAATTAACCTTAAATCTTTCAAATATCAAGTTTTGGGGGCACTTGGCTGGCTCAGTTGGTAAAGCATATGACTCTTGATCTCAGGGTTGTGAGTTCGAGCTCCACGTTGGGTGTAGAGATTGCTTAAAAACAACATTTTTAAAAAGGGTTTTATTTATTTATTTGAAAGAGAGGGAAAAGGAGAGCGAGTGAGCGGGGGGCGGGGGGCAGAGGGGGAGGGAGATGGAGAGAATCTCAAGCAGACGCCAGCATGGAGCCTGATGCAGGGCTCAATCTCACAACCCTGAGATCATGACCTGAGCCAAAACCAGGAGTCAGAGGCTCAACGGACTGAGCCACCCAGGTGGCCGAAAAATAAAATCTTAAAAGAAATACCCATTTTTCATAAGTTGAATTATTTCAAAATAAAAGTCAAACAAGACATTCTAAAAGAAAGGTGTTTTCTGAGGGAAAAGGGGGTGTTTCAGCATTTGGGGGAAAAGGCAGAGGAAAGGGAAAAGGTATGAAAGCAAGAGAGAAAAAGCTTTCGGCTCATCCTGGCTGGATGACTCAGTCTCAAGCCATATCGCATTTGATTTTTTTCCTTTTTATTCCCTTGTGGTGCAGGGAGGAATAAATTAAGAAGAAAAAAAAAGCCTTATAGTGTTAGCATTTATCTTTCAACAAACAGGAAATGAAAATGATACCATATTAGGAGCCACTTTACGTTATTCATCTTCTGAGCCTTAGTAAGTTATTGACCAGCCAAACTAAAAGATGCTCTGAACACATAATGCCAAAGGAATTTAGTTTTCCAAAGCGGCTCAGTTAGAACAATTAAAATGTTTGCAATGGCATTCTTCTACAGATATTTGTATTTCTGTAGTTTGGTTTTTTTTTTACCATGTTTTAAGTTTTTAGGTGTTAGGACCCAAATATTCGTAGAATTCTAAAAAATATTGTGTCTTAAAAGTTATCATGGGGCAGAAGGAATGAAGGCATATCTATTATTCTTTTTAAAAAACAAGTAGTCTGCCATACTGAATGTTACAAATTAAAGGGTGAGAGGTGATATTTACTTAAGAGTCTGATGAATATTAATTGTGACTTAATTTGGGGGTAAACATTGATGTAGCAATTAACCAACACCAAGGAGAAGGAAATCCAAATTCCCAGCATCAAAAGGAATCATCAACTCTATGTTCTATCCAGATGTCTACCATGCTGACATTTTACTGGTCAGATGTAATAACACTATGTCACAAACACATACCTAGAGTTTGTACACACAGCCACATCCATAAACCCTGGGGGTTACTGCCATGGGAGACAAATTCTCACTTCTCCGTGAGAATATTAACATAAAATTCATTGTCCATTTTGAGAATTACCCAGGTTCCTTATTTTGCCTCACACTCAATTCTACCATCCTAGCTCTGCTTTAATATAAAAGTTCAGCAAGGTTACAGAAAAAAGGCAAAAGTCCAAGTTTCTGTTTTTGTTTGATCAGTGCTAACTAGCATGCAATATATTCCTGGATGGGTTCTGGATTTTTACCATCAGTTACAGCTCTAACTCTAACACAAACCCTTTTAACAATTAAAGAAAAAAATCACCTGCCAAATTCACTTTTTGTTGTTTTAGGCAAAAAGGCTAATATTTCACACCTACTGAAACCACATCCTCTCTCTACTGGGGCTGTCTTGCATTTTTAATACTCACTGGCTCCTTGAAAAGCTTTCAGATTCTTTATTACTTTTTATGCCATTATTCTACGAGCTCAGCACCCCTATCCATTTTCACGGCATCCTTTCATTATTATAATATGACAATACAAACGTTTAATATTAGCAAGTGTATATTCCAGCATTCCCTCATAAACTGAATCCCATGCAAAGCAAAGCAAAGGAGGATGAGACATGTACTCCAAAGGTCAACTAAAAATTTGGTTGGCAAATTAAAACAATTTTTTATGTTCTGCTAGCAGAAATTACTCTCTAAAAGCTTTCCTGGTGGGTACGGGAGGGGTATCTGGTGTAAAAAGGAATGCCAACAGGCCCCACATTGAGGGGACATGCTCGTACAATGTTTGTTTATTAGCAGGTTCCCCAATTTTGGAAAGAGACAGCAGAGTGAAAATGGATGAAGGTCGTGGGCACTGCAATCACACTATGCTGGATTCAGATTCTGGCTCTGCGACTCTGAGCACATTATGTAACCTTTTTAAGTATTTAGTTTCTTCTTCTAAATATGGAATAATAATCTCTGAACTCTGAAGAGTTGTTTTGAGGATTAGATAAGTTCTTGCACATAACAAGCTTAGCATAGAGCCTAGTGCTTCACAGATGCTCAAAAATATCTAACTTTCTTTAAAGGAAAGTTACACCGTCTGGTCTATTTAGACCTCAACTGGTTGAGTATATGCTTGCAACCCGGGTCCACGTGACAGGAGTTCTGTGCAGTTTGCAGTGGGCCTAGCTGGGGAGAGGATTTTGATGTTTTGAAGAATGGAACAGAAATCATAGGAGAGATGAAGCCCACTGCTTATGGATTGATTTCCTTGGTTCTCGCGGTCTCTTGCCCTCATCCTAGGCAAATGCTTTTTCTCCCCTTGGCTGATATAGGTCATCCCCTCTTCTATTAGCCATGGCCTCAAATTAGGTTTTAGCCTGTCCGGGCCATGAAAGGCTGGAATGCTTGTATCGCTCTGGACACACTGATAACCGCCGAAGGCAAGGAGCTCCATTCAACATCTTCAAAGATAAAAACTGAGGAGATTAAACTCATTCTTTTAGCAGAGAAAAGGGAACACGGTTTTAGGTTCATTTAACATAATCACTTTATATGTTGTCTGGAGGACTAATCATTTTAAGCCCAATTTGGCGGTTCTCACTTGTGAGAAACAGAATCTGAAATAAATGAAGGATCCTGGATGCGTAAAAATGTTTGAACTACCGAGGACGGATGAGAAGAAAGGACCAAGTGACTCATGGGATTTCACGGAGGCAAGACTGCTGTGGCTACCTCAAATCCTCTTGTGCTACTCTTGTATTTTATAGCTGGGGAAACTGAGGCCCCAAGGGTGAACTCACACAAGAACATGGAGCTGGGAAGGGGCAGAAGTAAGACTAGAATTCCAGTTGCGGGACGCCTGTTCAGACTTTCCCACTGTGGTGTGACTATAAGAGGCACCCGGGATGCTAACTGA